TCCAGAGAACGAGCCCCATATATCCATGTTACACCCCCCCAGATATCAGTAAAAAAGTGTTTGGAATGATGGTAAATGTTAACACATGGCAAAGATGGAATAAAAGTTAGGATTTGTACATCTATCAGGGATGGCATTTTTCTGTGAATATCTTGTAAATTAGTTTGCTTTATGGTGTATTTTGAGGAAACTAAATCTAGTACTCATTTCTGCCCTTTTCTTCCTTACACATCAAATTACAAGTGATATCACATCATTGTAATCTTTGCCTACCAAAGCAGTTGTTTTGGAATGTAAGTACAGTTACAGCAAAATAAATATGGAGATGAGATTGGGTTACATGGAATGACTGGTTGTGAACAGGGCCTTAAGGATAAGTGTGGTATAGAATTTTGTATTTAATAGTTTTGTTAAAACCAGATCAGCAGAACACATTTTTATGGGCCATCTGCTAAGATTAAAGGTAGTTTTGAAATCTCATTCCTTTAACCATGTATTTGCATTCCTGCCTGTCAAGATGAGGAGACAAAAGGGAAATGGATGGTGAATTCTAGAGCTAGAGTAGATCTTAAATACTGTCTAGTCCAAACCTTTTGTTTACAGATGTGCACCCCCCAAGTGTTTTCATAGCCCTCATTTTTTCATAGCAGTTCTTGACTTTGAACTCAACTTAATCATCTGGTGACAACACAGTTTCTCAAAATATCAGGCAGCTGGAATTGCGAGGCATTGGGAAGGTGCTTTGCACAATATTTAGGATAGAGTTTACCTCAAAGACTTGGAGGTTTTGTTTCATGTTTTAGTGTAGTGGAGAGGTTTGAAGCGTTAGGTCTAGGGTTATGTAGTAATCTGTAATTTGAATGAGCTGCTGGTTTGGAAGCAGATGGTCTTGAGAGAGGTAGTAGAGCACTTAGTAATGGAGAAGGTGAACAGTTGAGGTTACATTAGTCACCTCCAGTGTCTCCCAGTCATTTGAGAAAAGCAAAAGGATATTGCTTTGAAGAACTTGGTTCATATTAATAGAAATTAAGTGGCAGGGCTAGGGCCTAAAAAGAGGACTCGTGGAGTTTAGAGCACTTACTGCTCTTGAAGAGGACCTAGGTTCAATTCCCAGCATCCACATGCCAGCTCACAACCACTTGTAACTTGAGTGGGGGATCACATTCCCTCTTCTGGCCTCCTCAGGCACTGGGCATACATACAGTAAACATACATATATGCAAGGAAACAATAATTTGTATTAAAAAGAATAAGACATTGTTGGGGTATAGGCTATTTTTTGGTAGAACACTTTCCTAGGTTTTTTTATTTTTGAGGGGGCGGGCTTGGATTCAGTTCCCAATGATATTGAAGATTTTATGCTTATGTAAGGTAGAGGAGAGTTGCTCAGTGGTTATTTTGAGCCTCGTGGACCTTAGGATGAGGTCACTGAATCAGACACTGCATGTGAAAGGAAACCTGCCTTTGCAGTCAGAGTGAAACATTGAGAATAGGGATTTGGGCGAGACCCAAGTTTATCACTACCTGATGTTTAAATTGAACAGAGAACAGCAGAGGACCATGCACTGAATCATAATGAGACAGTTTCTGTTATTGCCTGTGTGACATGCGTAGATACAGAGTGCCTATTTTAAAGTGTGGATGCTGATTGAATGGGCTGGGTAGAAGTGTGTTGTTTTTTTGTTTGTTTTTTCTTTTGTAGCACTCCTGCCTTGACCTCTCAGTGCTGTGGTTATAGGCATTGCACCAACCCTGGTTGTTGGAATCTTAACTGAAAACAAACTGGTTACATTTGGCAGCACGATGCCTTGCTAAGAGAAACTTCATGCTTGACTACTTGTTCCAGGGTTTTTGATTGTCAGTATAAGTCAAACTCAATACAAAAAGATAGGTAATGGTCTGGGCTAACTAAAAATACAGGCTTTTGAAAAGAAAACTGTTTGCTAGCAAATAACCACAACTTGGGATGCAGATGAATCGGAAGCCACAGTAGTCATACCTCGTAAGAGTAAAGTAATTGGCAAGTAAACTTGCACAAAGCAAATCAGCTTAAAAGGTACATATGTGTATTTCTTCCAGACTGTTTTGTTGCTTTTACAAGTTCTCTAGCTATTTACAGAAGAGAATTTTTAGGAAGGGTATGTGTGTGGCAGTTTTCTGGGGTTCCAAGCCAGTTGTTAGGACTCATGGGTGAAGAGAATGTTTATAAAGGAGCAACTTTAGCATAGTGTGGTTATATTATTTCTAGTCTGGATACTAATTTTTGTCTTTCTGGTGGTAACATACCGTACCATACAGGACTGATTCCTATATTTTTATGTAAAAGTAATTAAGATGTGAAATGGGTTTAATGACATAAGTGTCTTAGAAAAAAGTGTTAAGCTTAGATTGTACATGTACAAATATATATATATGCATATTCTCACATTAAATATTTAAAAGCTCAGTTAAATACATTTGAATATAAACAGTTTAAATAAAACCCACGACGATTCCTCCGGTTAGGCAAAACTAACTTGCTCTATAAATTTGATTCTAATATGGAATCATTTTTTTCAAAACGAAATGCACTTGTATATTCATATAGAATATGAGCATGTGTACACACATGCACAAACCCTTCAGAAGGAGTTAAACTTTGCTTCATAAACAAAACACTGTGCTTAGGAAGTGTTTTTGTTTGTTTGTTTTGCTAAAATTAGTGACAAAGCTCAGGTTTGTACCTTCATACTATCAAAAGTAGCAATGCATGTAGGTTTCGTCAGCACCTTCCTACCCCCTAATATATCAGTTAACTTTAAAAGTGTGGTCATTTCTATAAAGCACACACTGTTGAACTAATTGATACAGCCAACTTATGCAGAAACAAGCCACTCAAAGCATTTGTGTTTTGTAAAATGGAGATTGTATTTCACTGTAATAAAATCTGATGTAAAATAAATGGTTGACTGGATTGAATAATTTTAGTGTATCTTTTTAGCGTTAGAATTATTTGAGGTAGTAGAAGTGATGTAGGGATGAGGTCTACAAGTTCTTAGGCTGGCTGCAATGCAGTTTGGCATACTTCAGTGGTATGCGTTAATATGCCTGCACTAATACATAAGTGAAAACTTTTCTCTGTTTCCTTTGTGCTCATTGACACCTACCACATCTAAGTCTGAATTAGTCCATTGTTCTGTTCTGGGCCACATTAGAACCTTGGAAACCAGCCTACGATGTTCTAGGAGTAATGGTTTACACCACTACTGGGAAGTTTCTAAAATATTAAGGCATCATAAATACAAGTGTCTGCACACACTGATATAATTCAGTCAAAATTCAATGTAGCAAAAGTCAGCTGTACTTGTAGTTTGGGATTGACCTGCTTAGAGTCAATAGAGGATTTGTATTTGGTTTTATAACAATGATCCCTCATCTGTACAAATTAATCCATCCACTTCTATTTTCATGTAAAGGTTCTACTGGTAGAACTTTCTCTGTTTTCATCTACTTGTACTTCCATCTGGTAGAACTTTAAAAAGGAAGTGTCACGAAGGAAGCAGCTCCTTTCTCTGCTACCCAGGTGATTGACCTGACATGAAAACGTAACCAGCCATCTTGACTAGAATCGGATTGGTCCCCACTTCTGTATCTATTCAGTTGGCATCCTGTAAGGTGTGGCTTCTGCCTGTTTCCCTCTACACATTTCCTACCAAAGTGCTCTTTTCCAGTTTTTCCCATGTAGCATCGTGCCTCTGCCTTCCCCAACATACATATTCCCTTTGGAACAGCTGTCCTCACTTCACGGGCTAGCTCTTGCTTACACGAAGCCCTCCAAGGAGCCCCTTGCTTCCATCCTTCTTGGGATGGCATCCTGACTAACATTAATCTCTTTGATCTTGTTTCTAGAACCCAGTGCAAATTACTGGGCTCTGTGGGTGTGTGAGCATGGGTTAACACTATTTTCTAAGACACTTATGTCATTAAACCCTTTTCACATCTTAATTACTTTTACATAAAAATATAGGAGCCCATGTTTTGCTTGGTTAATAGGAAAGCAACCACCTTAAACATTAAGCTTGAAAAATTGAACTGTAGAAAGTATCTTCTGCCTGAGAACAACATGGCCAGGAAGTCATTACACATGTGTTCTTTCATCCTTTCTTCAGGTGCCAATGCTGTTTATCCCACCAAGGGGAAGCATTTGATAGCTGGGCTTTGCAAATTCTGTATCTTACAGCTTAGTTCAGAAAGAGAGATTGTTGGCACTAAGAACCTTTGGTCATAATCAGACCAAATGTTTGGGTAAAAATTCACCTCAGGAAAGTTGGCTTTTCTCTTAAACTATAGGTTCAAAACTAAAATGTCACAATTGCAAAAATACTTCTGTATCTTTCTGATCTAACATTGCCATTTCTGAAGACAGAGCTTGTTTCCTTTATGTCGTGAGTTAGCAAGCTATCCCTCCCCAGCTGCACCTGCCAGGCAGTTCTTCCAGACCTTTCTAGAAGAGTAGCTGGCTGGTAATTGGACTCCATTGGCAGCCTGATCTGTACTGCAAAGGTAAGACCGAGGTGCTTCTAGCTCCAGTGCTCTTTATTGGAAACACGTGGACAGGGGTGTGGACACGTTCTTCCCTGTGAGTCTCATTTACCTTCTTGTGCTTTTTCTTTATCCTAATGCTTTCTCTCTGGAAGGTGACTTAACGTGACTTAATGTAGTGTTGCCTCTTGTTAATCACTCATCATGAGAATTATAGGTAATAATTCCACTTGAAGTCCCACATTGAAGGTAGCAATGCTTGCTTTTAGGTGAATTCTATTCTGTGTCTACCCTCTAATTTTTTTCCTTTGGGTTTTTTTTTGGGGGGGGCGTTGCACTCTGGGCACATTTGCAAGACTGGGAATGACAGTGAAGATTAAGAACATTACCCTATAAACAATAGAACCATTGGGATGATTTCAATCATGATTTGATGAAAAGGAATTCAAGTATATGACAGATCTGGGACAAACTGTAAATAACTTTCCATGTTTATTTCAAAAGTAGTTTTTAAAGACTGGCAATAGGCTTTATTGGCAAAGCAAATAATAAAGGGATAATAATTGTGTAACTGTATGCTTAAACTTCCCTTTCAGTACATCTGCACACAGCTGAGAGGCTCTGCTGCATTGTTTACGGTAATATTGCTGAGGTGGAATATAAAATACTTCATGGTCCCTTGGCAAGAACATGCTTTATGCGTCTTTGGTTGTCAACTCTCAAGTTAATTCTTGCTTGACAGTACCTGACAGATGAAGTAGTTTTACACCATGCCCAAGATTCGGGCAACCCACCAGCTACACGGCATGACGACTCTGCAGGCCGAACGACACCCTTGATAATTATAAGGCCATGGATAGTAGCCTCCCAGAGGCTCGCAGATCTTCTGGCAGTGGGTGTAGCTCCGTCTGCATTCTATACAGCAGATTCCTTCATGATCCAGTCTTGGGTCAAATGTCATGCTTTCTCCTTCCTGCTGCTGTGAATTAAAAGACAATTATTTTATTCCCTCTAATGAGAAGCTTACAGCATGCATAGCATTTTAAAATAAGATCCTGAGTTCACTGCCTCAAGAAATCAGAATATCATCGGTTGTATGTTTTCAAACTTGTATCACCACTCAGAATCCCTTCTGACATCAAGGAACCCTTGCCTACTTAGCCTGTCACCGGCAGAAAGCTGTGTGGTATTTTAATGAAGTTCCTGCATGCCTGTAAGGAGCTATGGTTACCATCTGTAAGACTCACCTTGTTTTAAATAAGCACAAAAAGGAAGCATTGTGATCAAAAGTGGTGTTGTGTCTGCTAAGTTTTAGTCAGTGGACACTGGTGTCTCCCTGTGGCAATGGCTCCCAGAGCTCTTGGGTGCACATTTTAAACAGATCTGGGGCCAGGCTGAAGTTCAGTTCCAGAGCCACTGCTGCCAGAACACTGCTGCGTCATTTACTTTCTCCTGCCTGTATATCAGCTACAGAACAGAGATGCTGTCTTTGTGGGGAAGAAGAAGCCTCCAGTGCTCCTAAACAAAATCATATTGCAGAAGTAAAACTCCATGTTAACTGCTGGACAGATTGATACCAAAAGGGGTTTTCCCTCTGCTCAATTTTATATCTGGTTTATCTTTTCAAGGATCTTCAGGCCAGGTGTTTGTATGTTTTTAAATATGCATTGAATATACTGGCAAGATCCCCCCCCCCTTTTTTTTTTAACTTGGGGCATTGCTGGGGTTATATAGAGTCTTACACTTGTCCAGGTTAGCCTTGAACTCAGTGTGCAGCCCAGGTTGACTGTGATCTTGGAACAGTCCTCACTTAAGCCTCTTGAATGTCAGGACTATAGTTAGGATCACAACAGTCATCAAAGTTCTTAGTTTTAAATCCCCTAATCCCAGCACCCATCCTGGAAGAAGCTGGCTGTGACCTGTGAGTTGCTTTGCTGTTGCTTTTTAGTCTAGTCAATGTGAGGAAAGTTAAATTTTCTTGAAAGCGGGAAAACCTTCATGGAGCATCAGTACGCTTGCTTATTCTGACAGCTGCTAACCTGTTCTCAGTTTTCCTTGATTTTCTCTGTGGTACTGGAAGGAGGATTTTGATGCAAATGTAAGGAAGATTGAAGGCATTGTGACATTTCAGTCATACATAGAAAGTACTTTTAAAAGGAGTGGATGGTTATTACACACCTTCACTCAATCCCTAAACACTGTCTGAGGCATCTGTTCAGATACTATCTTCAGAATGCCTACCTTACTCCCTCAGACCCTTCTTCCAGTCTTCAGACTGCTTATCCTTATCTCCTGAGATAGGCTCCTTTAGAACAATAAGCAGACAGCCCTGATTCATCTCAGCTCTGACTCTGGGGTAGAGGTGCGGAAGTGTTAGTGGAGGTGTTTCCTCGGGGAGGTTCAACAGAGGCCTAGGATGAGCAGATTGGGAGGAAACTCTGGCTGTTGCTCCAGGGTTTCTCCTTAGAGGAGTGTGTGAAGGACAGACCTTGAGGAAAATGCTTGAGTATTTTTGCTTAGAGCTCAGCATAGGTTAAAGGAGAAGGGTGACTGACATGATTGGAGTTTTTGAGGGATGTGGATTACTGGAATCTGTAGCCAGAACAGACACATCACGTGCCTTCTGTAAAGTGCCTGATAGCTTCAGACCTTGAACAAATTCATCTAGCCCAGCTACCTGGGGAATAAGCTATATTAAATTTTGTTTGCCTATTCAGATTATATTTCTTGTTATTCTTTGAGCTTAGGGAATAAAGTACTATGGTGTTCGGAATTTTCTGATAAGCCTTAGGTTATTTAGAGAATACCTTTTACTCTATCTAAATCCTTCTAAAATACATTAGTCTAAAATGATAAACTAGAAAATGTTGGTAATATGTGAAGCTGTGTCAGACTGAATAAGCCGGGGGGCGGGGCGGAGTCACACAAATGATTTAGTGCAGTGGTTCTCAACCTCCCCAATGCTGTATCCCTTTAATATAGTTAACTCCTCACGTTATGGTGACCCCAACCATAAAACTATTTTCATTGTTACTTCATAACTAACTTTGGCTACTGTTATGAATTGTAAATATTGGTGTTTTCCAGTGGCCTTAGGGGTCTCCCAAAGAGCTGTGACCCACAGGTTAAGAACTGCTGGTTTAGTGTGTTCCACCTTACATATAATTAAGGATGGGCAAAATAAATAAGCAGAAGACATAATTTATACACCCAAGAGAGTGACAAAGGTTTGATAGAACTGGGAGTAGAGTCAGTGGTGGACTTTATACTTAGCAAGCATTAGGCTTGGATTCAGTAGTCCCTGTGGTGCCATCCCATATGTCCTGAAAAGTTTGGGAGGGAATGGGGTCTTCCATTACCCTTTCACATGCACATGGTAACAGTTTGGTAATCTCCAGTAAAATGTACAATGCCTATCTACATCGATGCATCAGAACTATGCTTTGGTATTTATGCTAAAGACATACTTGCATCATAGACTCTATGTTAAGAGCTGCCCCACCTAGGTCACCTCATCTAGGTGCTGTCTACAACCGTATTAGCAGTAGCGGATGACAGGGAGATACTTTCCACCCACCAAAGCCTTACTAGTCAAGATTCAGCACATGCCTATCTATCTGTGTTAGAATGCTGCTAACCGGATAGAAGCCATTTACTAAATATCAGAGAGACAGAACACTTCCCAAAATACTATATTCTAATTGGAAAGCAGGGTGGAACTTTTGTTCTGAAAAGGTGTGTGTTTTTCCCTGCGTGTACTCCTGCAAATGAACTGGGCATATAGTTGTTAATAAGCTGTTATGGGGAAGATGTCTGGGCTGGAAGGTTTTGGAAACTCAATTTCACTGTACATTTCTATTCTATTTTTTAAAATGTATGCTTAAATTTTATTTAAAAAGCTGCAAATATTCTGTTTTTGTTCTCTGCAAGGTATAATAATGGTAAACAATAAGTATTTCTTGAAGATTTGGAGTTTTAATACATTAGTGCCATTAGTACAGTCCTCAGTTTTCAGCTTCAGCTCAGAGTGTTGTCACCTGTGTGTGAGTGTGTGCATGGGTCTCTCCCCTGTCTGGGATGCGAGCCCTGAGGGCACAAGTAGCAGTTGACTGTCTGCGAACAGGGCCTGAGAAAGGTCAGGAAACCCACAGATTGTTCTGGCTGGATGAACAGCGTGGCTATAAGCAGGGGAAGAGAACACTTTCATTCTGTGTGTTGCCTCAAGGGCACACTCTTGGGAACATTTTAAGCCATCAGATTTCTGGTAGGATTTATTTTCATAGATTTTCCTCCTAACAAAACAACAACAAAACCAGCATGGGAAACGACTTTGAATTTGCACCACATAGATGGAGATACAAGAAATCTCACTTAGAAATAGACTTTCAGCATCACATTTAGTGCATCTGTCTGGGCATGTCATGACAACACCGGTACTCACATGGTAAGGATTGTCGGGATTGAAAGGTTCCTCGTCGTCCTGAACACTGGGCCTGGTTTCATTATTCAGTCTTCTGGGTCCTGGGTTGCCTCGTGGTTCACTGTGTGGTCTTCTTGTGGTAGAGGGGGCAGTGTTTCTTACTACGTCTCTTCTCTCTCTTTGGATTTCTGCAAAATTTTCTAAAAGTTAATTCCTTAACAATTAGATCTGCATGTGAAAGTGACAACCAGGGGTACGAGCTTCCCATTCAGTTTCATAATACTGACTGGAGCAGACACTGGGAGTTTGGTTGACAAACCTGTTCTCAGGCCTCTTTTGTCCTCACTGCAGTATAGGAACTGAGCAAATATTACTGATTTTCTCTGCCTTCTTTGCAGTGAGGAGTGGCCAGGCAAGCTATTTCTAACTCTAAGGCACAAAGCAAAATAGGTTAGTGCCATGTATGGGAAAGCTTTTACTTTCTTGATTAAAGGGAACAGAAAGTTGTTTCTGTGTGTTTTTCCTAGACGTGGATGTGCTATTTGGAATTAGGAATTGACAGGTAGCATGCTACAGAGAGCAAAACTGTTGGGTAAAAGGAGACTTGATGGTCATGGAGTGGACACTAATGCCAAAATCCTTATTACAGCTTATGTCTTTGGGTTGTAAATATACAAACTGTTTATATGTTGAAACCACTGCTGATCAGGTATGCTGTAACTCACAGCTCTATGTGCTCCTAATCAATTGTGTAGATATAAAACTTTACATTTTCATGTGAGACATTGTTTTAGTTAATCCTTTTTTTAAAAAAAGTTCCATGGGGTAGAAAAATCAGATGTTTTTATGTATGAGGGCAACAAGATGCAGACCAAGTAGCTGGTGAAGATCATAGACTGCGTGAAGCAAGGACACGGTAGGAACCCTGGCTTCCACCCCAGCACTCTGGTTAGCCCCCTCATCAGGTATCCTGTAGTGTAGCTGACAGGTTACTAGCACAGATGGAAAGTGCCACATAGCATTTGCTGTGGCAGCTCCCTGAGCTTGAATTTCTTTGTCTGATATGGAACTGGTAGTATCTCATTCTTAGGATAATGATAGGGTTAATGAAAACTGTATCTAGGGACTTAGCATATAATAAACATAAATGATAGATAGCATTCTTATAATTTATTATTTATGAGAATTAAGAAGTGCTTTGAAGCCATAGATAGATTCCACACATAATATGGTTGGAGAAGTACCAAGGAGACCCAAATCAGCTCAGCTAGTTGGAGGACCTCGGGCAATTTAGTCTCTCTTCATATTAGTGTCTTTCTCTGGATCTTGGCAATGAGCATAGTTATAAAAACAGTTGTTGTTAAAGACTATATGAGGACCAAGTTTGTTGCTTTAGAGCAGTATTTCGGATTTTGTTTCTTTCCTATAGTTTGGAATTTATGTATATACATAATGAAATGTTTTGGGATTGGAACCAAGTCCAAGAAAAATTCACTGATTTTATGTGTACCTTCTATTAAGCAGCCTTCTATGATTTAACAAAACACCCCAAACAATCAACTTATAAAGAGGAAACTTTAATTTTGAGTCATAGATTTTAGATTTTGCAGTCCATGCTCAACTTGGCCCCTTTGATGAAGTGTCACGCCATGGGCTGGAGCAAATTGGGGAGGTCAAGGGGGCAAACGTGGAGTTATAGTTTTGCAATTCCTTAAAGACTTCTTGCTAAGCCTCATCTTTTAAAGGTTCTACCATCTCCCAATAGGGACAAACCTTTAACTCTTGGACTTTTGGGTGATGTTCAAAGTCCATACTGTAGTGTACCACATATGCTATGATTACATTTGAAATCACTTTGTTCTTGAAATAAAGTTGCATGGTATGGGGGAAAAAAGTCTGTTGCTTTAGAACATTGGCTGTCCATTTTTGGCCTGTGTCCACCTACCATCCACCTTTGATTATCCAGCTGTGTGACACTGATGACCTGTTGTCTTTAACAGCCAACATGCAGTTGGCAAAACGGTTACTAGAATGGTTACTAGGGAGCTGGGCATCATAGAAGAGATTTAATAATTTTTTATCATAAAATACAATTACACTTATAGCAGATTAGTGGGAAATTCATTTTAATGCCTATGATAATCCTATGCATATGACAATATTTATTTAGTCCTTTGCTAATCTGGGGCATTTGTATAGTCTCCATTTGTGGTGTATATTTTTTTATGGTTCTGGGCACCAAACCAGGCAAGCACTCTATCGCTGAGCTATACCTCCAGACCACACCTCCAGTAATTCTTATAGAAGCATTGTGTGTAAGATCTTATCATGTGTTTATGTTAAAATGGTCAAGGAAACATCTTAGACATAGGGTTAATAAGCTTATTTCCAAGGATGATAGCACTCATCTTGGTACTGCCATTTGTCTGGTTGCCACCCCTGCTTCCTGTCCCCTACACTGTATTTTGCATTGCATCTCCTATTGTTACTTATACAGCTTATCTATTTTCGTGTGTGTGTGTGTGTGTGTGTGTGTAGGTCAGAGTTATCCTTGGAGGTTGTTCTCTTAGGAGCCATCTGCCTTGTTTTTTGTGCTTGTTTGTGGTTTTTTTTTTTCTTCCCCCGGGGCAGGGTTTCTCTGTATTGTTTTGGAGCCTGTCCTGGAACTCGCTCAGTAGACCAGGCTGGTCTCGAACTCACAGGGATTCACCTACCTCTGCCTCTCAAGTGCTGGAATTAAAGGCGTGCGCCACCAATGCCCGGCTGTTTTATATATATATATATATATATATATGAAAGACCCCGAATTTATAGAAATAAAATATAAGCTTAAACAGGGAGGGCACCCCACTAGAGAACTTGGGAAGTGAGCAAAGGACCCCATCCCAGGAACTGGCCAAACCACAGAATGGAATGTATGGTTTAGCAACCTTAATTGCAGAAGGGCTGTAAACGCACAAAAGGCCAATTCCGGGCTGCTGACCACCTGTGAAGAACTGACCAGGGCGTCAGAGATGGGCAAACAAGATTTGTGGGAAACAAGGAGATGATAACCACCATTTACTTAGGGAGAGATGATTAACTCATACCAAAGTTTGAGGAATTTACAACGTGTAGGTCAGGAAGACATCTACTTCCCTGGGTCAGGAGTCACATACCCCCCTCCCCCTGTCACAAGATAGGGACCCCTCCCAAAAGCTTGTGGTTTTTGTCTTTAAAAGCTGATTGTAACTGAACCTCGGGGCCAATCGATCTAAAAGCTGACCAAGAGGCCCATCTGCAGATGGTCTAGTTAAAGCCTCTTTAGTGTTGCATCAGTTGGCGCATGGACTCTTGATTCTTGGGGTGACGAATTCAGCTTGGGGACCCCTCCTCATTTTGGGGTACCCCAACATGTATATATTTGTTTTTTTACCTGGGACCTGGGGCTCAGCAGTTAGAATGTCGCTGACCACTGATCTTTATCCTCTGAGCTACCTTCCCAGCCTGCGTCAGACAGCTCTTTGAGAGGTTTTATTGTTTCCTCATGTGTTCACTGATGCATCTCACACCCAGGAGAAGTTGCATGACCCAGGATAGGCCTTCACGAATGTGGTCTTATAAATTACACTTTGTAAATGAGCGAGTGACCTCAAGGAAGTTCTGAGGTTGCCCTGAGATCAAGAAGAAAGCTTCGCATGGTAGTGTGGGCCACTCTAGTCCTTGAATGGGAAAGATAATGTTTCTGGGTGAGAAGGCCGAATGGCCCACCCGAGATAACAGGAGTGGGGACTGAAAAGAGGCATGTGGCCATAGGATACAAGGACAGACATGGCAGGAGTTTGAGGACCTTCTCAACCCTCTGCCCAGTATGACAGGGCATTGCTTGGTGTGGGCTGAGAGTAACCCATCTTCTTCATCTTAGGGCAAGATGAGACTTGTGAACAGTAAGAATCAGTTAGTCATGGTAGGATCAGAAATCCATACTTTGTGACTGGTGGGGTATAGTTTTGATTCTGGCAGAGCAAATATAGCAATGGACAGGGTATCTTACAGCACGGGCTGGTCTCACCCACTGTGTAGCTAAGGACCGGCCTCATCTGATCAGCTTTCCTAGTGCCAGGGTTAACAAGCAGTGCCACCAGGCAGCTCTCTTTGGTGAGTCTCACTCACACAGTTCAGGGCATTAAGCGCATTCACCACTGTCGCTACCCAACCATCACCACCATCCATCCATAGAACTGCCTTCTCTCCTTTCTTTTTAAGCCGAACTGTTTTCCCCCTCTAAATAGTGCTCCACCTACCCTACTGGGTTTGATGCCTGCGTTTTCTCTGTTTCCTGATTGCTGTCTTCTAATATTCAATAAAACCTTTCTGAAAGCAGCCTGTCTCTTGTGTACAAGTAGAAAGCTTCCCTTTCCACCTGAGCCACAGCTACAAAGTGGTCCTTAGGGAGACCAGTGTGCTGACCACAGTAGAAATGAAGTGTGAGGCCCTTTAGGGATGAGAGGGGAGCGAGACCTGCTGGGCTTACCTGCCCTTTGCCATCCAGAAATGGCTCAAAGGTACGCCCCAGCGCCACGCCAAGGGGCCCCACGCTTGCTTTCTCTGGTTTTGGGAGCTGATGCTCAAGCCTTGAACTTGAGGAATCTCAGTCTAGACCCACAGCAGCTTTTGGCTGTCCCATAACTCTAGGTTTGAATATAATAAAGCATCGGCAGCATGACAGTTTCTTAGTCCCCTGATGCTATGCTTTAAGAATAAAGAAATGTAAAATGGGAAGGCGCAAACACCGGAGATTAAGGGGCCGGGTAGGAAGAAGCAGGGGTGTCATAAATAAAAACTGCAGGTATGCAGAGGTGCTCTGTCTTCTGCCTGCTTCCAGCTAACCTGCTGCGCCTTCCCTTCCACAGACAGGTCCATCCCCTCCTGCACCCCATCATTTCCTTCTCTTTTATCTCTCATGCTAACTACAGAGACTCAGCCCAACAACTGTCCCAAGTTACCCAGGGACAGTGGGGGGTGGGGGTGGGGATGGAGCTCCCAAGAACCAGAAGGACAGGGAGAATTCCAAGCCCTATTACAAAAACTTAAAAACTTTACCTTTTGGATACATAGGCTTAAGCCAGAAAATCGGGAGGTTGCCGCAGAGTTCAAGGATTTTAGAACTCAAGAAACTGTTGTCCTTCACAGGCTGGTCCATGGCCACCCAGATAAGAGAGTTTTCTTCATCTTTAACTGGCATGATCTTGCCTTCCTGTAAAAACAAAACGCCTGTGAGCAGAGGTTGCTGGCGCTTGCCGCTACTAAAGGGTTGCTTTGTGCAAACCCGGGATACTCTGTGTGTACACATACCATGCAGGCACACTTTAAGGCTCCAGTCTCTTGACTCTCATACGAAGCAAACCCCCCCAACACCCTGCTTCTAGACAGCCCTAAAGTGTGAATAAAAGTGTTTTGAGTCGAAGTGAAAATTACTTGATACTGACTTTGAGATTTAGGTTAATCTGATGTTTTCGATCAAAGATGTTTTTGAGGAAAAGCAATTGAACAGACCCTGAAATCCTATAAAGGATAGAGGAACCCTTCATTTGAAGTGAAAATCTTCTGGGGTTTTGTTCTGCAGCTTCCAAACAACAATGGGGAAAGCAAGTGATTGGTTCTTTAATGTCTCCAGTTCAAAGTATTATTTAACATAAACCATTTCTCCATTTCCCAGCTATAACAAAACATTTGAGATGTTCCTCACATCAAGCACACCACTGAGATTTCAAAGGTAAGCCCTGGATTTCCTTCTGCAGCGAGATGCTGAGGGTGGTTTGATAACCCAGGAGACAAATTTATTTTTGCCAGGTTGTTCCTTTCATGTATTTATTACTTTGCAGTAGGCTGGAGAAATTAAAATGTTTTTCCTCACTTTAGGTAAAAGCAGCACTTCATTTGTGTTTTCTCCCTCGGGCGTATGGTTGCATTAAGCAAGTTAAAGTTATTGGAGGAAGGGAACACTCAGGTAATCCAGTTATTTAGCTTAAATTAAATGGCACCGTCCAGGAAATGAATGCTCTTTGAGCACAGCAGCCTTTTAAAGTTATACAAAACTCTTGAAGAATTTAGGAGAGCAAGTAGCATGTACATCTGCCCTGCCATAGTCTGAGGGATGTGGAGAGGAGGACCCGACTGGGGTGATGTCTGTGGATGCAGCCTGTGAGCCAGGAATGCTGTCAGTCTGGAGCATGGGGGTTACCCATCCCCCCTCTTATCTTTGCAATACAGCGGTGTGTCCATTGTAAGGAGGAACACTTGCTGCTTCAAGCTTCCCTGTGGTCAAAGTGAGGCAGTGAGGTTGGCAGGGATCAACTTTTAAATTTTATTTGTTTATTTAGAAAGGGATGGAGTGAGGGATGGAGAGAGAGAGAGACAGACACAGAAAAAGAGAGACAGAGAGAGAGAGAGAGAGAGAGAGAGAGAGAGAGAGAGAGAGAGAGAGAGAGAGAGAGAGAGAGAGAGAGAGAATAGGCCTGAGGACAACTTTGAGTGTTGGAGGACAACATTGAATGTTGTTTCTCAGGCGCTTTTTTTCTGAGACAGGCTTTTTGCACTGCCTTGGAGCTTCTCATATAGGCTAGACTAGCTGGTGAAGAATTCCCAGGGATCCTCCTGTCTCTGACCCCCAGTGCTAGGACTCGGTGCATGTGTTACACACTGTGACACTGAGTTCTGGGGATTGAACACAGGTCCTCCTGCTTGTCCTCAGTAATGGTTGTTACTGAGCAGGCTCCCTGGTTCCTGCTTAAGTTCTGGGAGGAAGTGGGGAAGAGGGTATGCAGCATCACCACACTTAGAAAGAAATGGTGACAGAATCACAGAGGCTGCCTCTCAGCCAGTGGCTGCAGCTGCTGGCCTCCTATTCCTGCCTCGCTTAGGATACCCCAAATGGGGTCACCTGCTACTGACAGCTGTGAGCATGGCTGCCTTACCCAACTGTACTTTCTGATTTGGTTTTTATCTATCAGAGGAGCCACCATACATGCTGTAAACAACAAAAATGTAAGACAATCTACTTTGGTCTAACAGTCAAGTACAAAGATTAAAATGCAAAACTATTTGCTAGAGGAGAATAATTATTTTCAAACACTATTTTCTGAAATTAAGGGTACCTGAAATGTTTGACTAAAAGACTCAAATTATAGTCATAGCTGGGCATGGTGCTACACACCTTTAATCCCAGCACTTGGGAGGCAGAGGCAGGCAGATCTCTGAGTTCCAGGCCAACCTGATCTATATAGTGAGTTCCAGGACGGCCAGGGGTATGTAATGAGACCCAGTCTAAAAATAGAGGAAAAAAGCATAATCATATGCTGGTCTATCATTCATCCATTATAACCTACAATTTAGAACTAAAGTGAAAACAAGAATCATGTTACAGTCAATTACATTTCTGAAAAGATTATCACCAAACTATTAACATTTGTTGCTTTTAGATTATGCAGTTGTGTTATTCACCTCTATACTTTCATGTATTTATCATGAGGAAAAAAATCATTAAAGCCAATGAGATGACACAGTGTGTAAAGGCACTTGCCACCATGTCTGACAACCTGAGTTCAGTCTGCAGAGCCTACGTAGTAGAGCCAATGCCCACAGGTTGTGTTGTGACCTCTTACACACACACACACACACACACACACACACACACGAATGTTAAGTTACATGCTGCAAAGTTCTGATCAGAGCTGAGTGATTTACAGCTAGGGGAGTTGGTTCTCGTGGAAGGCAAGAGAGACAGTCCATACCCACATGTGAGGGAAGCAGCAATGGCGTGGTGGGCATCACTCTAATGCAGCGCAATGAGAAGTGCAGAGAGCACAGCAAAGGAGATCCCACTGCCTGTTTTGGCTGCCGTTTGTGAGTTCGTGCTGAGCACATGGCCTGTGATTCTGAGCAGCGCAGCTCACAGCGAGAGTGAATGGAGCAAGGGGGTCTGGCCTCCACCTTACAGGAAGATCACTGGGGTAACTGGGAGTAGGGGAAGGACGAGGACACACTGACTCACTTTCAGAGGGAGCCCACAAGTTGGTTCGTAGTTTGTGTTTTTCTGTTTTGAGACATCGCCTGCTGCTGCTCCCACAGGAACAAACAATTAGGCGGTTTCCAGGCACCTTCGCCTTTATCCCGTTTCCCTCCGTGGCCCTGAGGGATCTGACGCTTGTTTCACTTCCCTCTCTGGGATACTGAAGGCTCAGAGAAGATCATAATAAAATTAGCACTCATGAGCGGCAGCCTTCCCATTCACCTGCTGGTAGAGTCCAAGGCCATTGCACAGTGTGTATGCAACAGTTTGAAGATGACAGAACTGCCACATTCACAGCAGGTATCAGCTAGGGTTCGGGTCTAGTTTTATGACTTCCAAGTCTGTCTTCCTTCCACAGCCCCTGCCACAGCTCAGATGGAAGACAGCCGTGGGTGTGACTACAAAACATTATTATTAAATGTATTTCTAGGACACTATGCAACTCTTTTTCTTTTTTAAAGATCTATTTATTATCTATACAGTGCTCTGCCTGCACATATGCTTGCAGGCCAGAAGAGGGCACCAGCTCTCATTATAGACAGTTTTGAGCCACCATGTGGTTGCTGGGAATTGAACTCAGGACCTCTGAAAGAGCAGCCAGTACTCTTAACCTCTGAGCCATCTCTCCAGCCCAATACTATGCAACTCTTAAAGTGTTAAAAAAAATCAAGTTTAGGGCTGGGGTATGGCTTGTGCAATGACTACCTAACATGTGTGAGGCCTTAGGTTCAATTGCCAGTAATATGAAACCAACAAAATAACCAGGCTTAAAGGCAAGCCACAAATAACAAATGGAAGAATTATGTTTTTAAAATGTGTAGAGTGTGAGGACAAGCCTGGGCTTTGTAGTGAGTTCCACTCTAGTCTAAGCTTTCAAAACCAGTAACTTAGTGAGACTCTGTGTTTAAAAAAAATTATGGGGATATAGCTTAGTGCTTGCCCTGCTGGCAAGGCCTTTGATTCAATTCCCTTGCTTTAAAAGCTAAAAAACAATCCATGAGGTTTGTATGGCTTCATTAAGATGGCTTGAACCAAAGGGAAGAACTGTAGGGGAACACCTCAGCCTGGTGTTGGAGGAAATCCACATGAAGAGGACTCTGTCCCAGCTTCCTAGAAGAGGACTATTTGGGGACAAATTCCCACACTTTGGCATGGAGGCTACAGAGCTTCGTGAAGTCCCTTTAATGAAAGTTTAATTGTGAACTTTTAAAAAAATCTTAATTTTGAATTTTTTTGTTTTGTTTTTTGAGATAGGATTTCTCTGTATAGCCTGGCTGTCCTGGAACTCGCTTTGTAGACCAGGCTGGACTTGAACTCATAGAGATCCACCTGCCTCTGCCTCCAGAGTGCTGGGATTAAGGGTGTGCGACATCACCACCCTGATGTTTTAAACTTCTAATCACTGGTCTGATAGTCATTTAACACTGGATGTATAAGGGCCATTTGAATTCCAATCCCCTAATGCACTTAAACATTTTTGTGTTTGTTTGTGTGTATGAGAGAGTGTGTGTGTGTGTGTGTGTGAGTGTGTAGCCACAGCACACAGGGAAGTTGGAAAACAACTTGAAGGGGCTGGGTTGTGCATTCTACCACCTGTGTTCTAGGAATCCAACTCAGGCTGTCGGGCTCAGCAGCAAATGTCTTTACTCACTGAGCTGTCCCACCTAATGCACTTTAGAATACGGCTTCCCCAAACTCTTAAATTTGCTGCACCATGCCGGAAAGATCACTTGCTGGCGTAGGACAGATGCATTCTCCTGGTAGAGAAGAATTTATGGACCTGTCATGAGCCTGTCCGGGAGGAAGGTGGTGTCTTCAGTGTCCACCCGTTGTGTGTGTCGGTACCTACCAGTTCTGAAGAGATGCTTTGCTTGGTCGCAGTGCCCACCTCGGGGACACGAGCCTTCACCTGTGCTTTGATGTAGCACTTCTCTCCTCCAGCAAAACGGACTCCAGTGATGCCCTATGAGATAAGAGTTTATCTGTCCATCCACGTATTTATTCAATCCATTGCATGTCTTGTATGCCAAGCATTCTGGGTGTTGGGCATAGGGATGAGCATAAGATAAAATCCTGGCTCTCCTGGAATTTACCAACATTGTTTTCCAATAAGAAGAAAATAATAATTCAGGTAGAAATAAGGCTTGTAGAGAAAAACAAGGCTGATGTAGAGGCTAGGAAAGGCCGGGGGATACTTTAGAGAGAACACTCAGGAGAGGGATGGTGAGGGTGATATCTGACCCAATGGCTCATGTGAGGTACCCCGTGTGTGTAACCGGAAGCTAAGACGGACTGCCACTCAAGCTGCACAGGCTATTCTGAGCTGGTGACCTAGATGAATTCTCCATCTCTTTTTCTAAGCCTCGTCTTTCATTTGTCACTTGGTCCACAGTTCTCAGTTAAAAACTTCTTGAGATCAGTATATGATGTGTGCATGTGTGTTTGCATGTGTCTGTCTGTGATCCTGCAAAGCCTCTCATACGATGTTGGTCAAATTAATGAATTCTCTTAATTCTGAGCTTTCCCCAGTCCCTGAGTCTGAAGTAAACAGAAGAGTTTTGTACAGCACCAGGAGATAACCATTACTGGAGCACTTAGGTGTTTTGTTTTGTCCCCTTTGAGATATAAACAGTGTCTCCTCCTGGCTGGGGACCAGCCCTAAGGGACACATCGGCACAAAGCTCCCTCTAAGTTGACAGCTGGGCACTGCTTTCTCCTGAAGAGGCTGTGAGAAGGAACTGTACATTCTGTCCCAGGAGTGTTCACTTTGATTCTGTTGATGTCATTTCATGGGGAATAAAGGATCAAAATATTCTTAAAGGTCCTAAGGTTTATATTTTATAATGTGGACTCCACCTGAGACCAGTGCAGGATAAGCCCAATCTGGTTGAGTCAGGGTTGAGTCATGGGGAAAGAAAAGCACAAACTGAAGCCGGGGGTCATGCTTCCTACGTGGAGAATGGAGTTAACTGTTAGTCATGCGGGGAGAGAATCACAGGAATCTACCTTCCTCTCGTCCAGGACCTGAAACCCACGGAGACCGGCAGGTGATAGAACAGAGGAGGGAAGATGGGTCTCCTCCTGCATGGCCCATTATTTGTCCTGAGGCCTGCTTGCTCACACCGTGTAACCCCTGTCACCTTGCCTATCCTGATCCAGCCCTCCCACACAGCAGAGGCTACACCCCCTGGAGAGAGTCTAAGAATGTAGCTGACAAAACCAGGCTTGCTAGTATAGCACTGGGGAGGTGGAGGCAGGAGGATCAAAAGTTCCAGGTCATCCTCGGCTATATAGCGAGTATGGAGGCCAGACTGAGGTATACGTGGTCTTGTCAAAATAAACAAGCAAAACCAACCTAAAAACAGAACCCAGCTGCCAGGCCCTCCCAAAATGTTCTTGCATTGATAATGTGGTGCTCAGTGCTTGAATATCTTAAACTACCCAGATGTCCATGATGGGCAGACAGCTAGCATCCAGGCCCAGCCATTGAGGGCAGAGGGAACTGGTTCAGAGTAAAAATTTAAAAGACTGAAATAGTCTTTCAGGCCAAGTTTCTCCTGTAACTGGGGCTCATAAACATTTGTTTGCATTAGAGTCACTAGGACAAAAATCAGAGGCCTGGGTCCCAAGCCCAGGGTGGGGATTTCTGCTTCAGGACACCTTAAGTTTGTATTTTCAGCAAGCCCTTGGAGGCTGCTCTGCTGGTACAAGGAATCAGCTTGAGAACCACTGGTATCTGCTATGCTACTTCCCGAAGCTCTACCCCTCGTACTCTCTGAATAAATCTAGGACTTGTAGCTTAAAACACAAGGAAGGGAGAGAGGTCACTGCTCCCCTGTGTGGTAGGTTTTCTATTTCCAGACATGCATGCTCTCTGAACATGAGATGTGTTGGGAGGGCATCATACATCACCCCAGAACTCCTGGCGAGAGCAGAGTCGACTGCAGATCAACTCTGCTGAGAGTGGACCTAATACTGAGTTCATTCTGCCAGCCCACACACTGCAGATATTGCTGACAGTCCATGGGATGGGACTGGTGGAGATGAATTCACACTTAACCATCGTGTCTAGCTGCAAATCCGCACAAGTGGCCATATTGAGCAATGAAACAGATGGAGCAGTGCAAGAAAGCCAGGAAAACCTCCTGTGTTAGCAAACAAACAGGGCCTTAGAAACAAATAATAGTGAGAAGAAATTTGCTAAGAAAGGTAACTAGTGAAGATTAAAAAAAAAGTCAACACTGTTCATCAAAAGAGCCACATGATATCGCCCGTCTGCAGTTCCATCTGTGACCCCTAGAGGGCCTCACGGAGGGAAGGATCTCCTGCCCCCAACAGGCATTTTGGGAATCTTTGCAAGAGTTTGATACAAAGATTGGGGTATTCTAAACTTTTTGGAGCCCTGTCCCCCCAGAGCCATGGAATACTGAAGAATCAACTGTTCTGGGTCCTAGGAAACAAATCTGTTTGTAGGTATCTGTCTGGCACAGAAAACCATTTTTGTTTTACCTATAAACGTCCAGTGACTGAGCACAGCTCACAGCACAGTGAATTCCCTACATTCAGTTACTTAGAAATGGAAATAAATTAGTTTCTGTCTTATTTTTGAGACAGAATCTGAGGTTTATCTCAAACTCACAATCCTATTTCAGCTTCCCAAGTGCTGGGTTCTGGGCATGCATAGCCATGCCCATCAAGAGATTGGTACTGATGCAGACTGTCAGAAAATCTCATCACGTCTAACTGCCAAAGCACAATTGTGACCATGTCCATTGCAGGTGTGGCACTGGCAGTCTCTGAACCACCAGAGCATGCACTTGAATTTATTAATGCCACACAATGCACCAGGCTGAGCATGTACATATGAAATCCATATTTCACTATAAATTACCTTCATTTTATTGTTCCTTTACATTACAGTTGAGGGTTATATTGATTTTTGAAATCAATAACTTACCTACCTCCTAGGTAGGTTATGCCATCTTTTTTCCCCCCTCTATCTTTTTAAATCACAAATTTCAAGTATCCACATATTAAAAGAATGGTTTTCTGAAAAACCAGAATACCCATATGCGCTCATCACTGTTGTCTATTTTTAGCTCTTACTCATGGTTTTTGTTACTGGTTTCAGGTCTGAGGAACTTGGCTTTAACCAACAGCATGGATACTTGTCAGGCTATAGTCTTCAGAATATATATTCATGAACTGTAAATCAGCTCAGTTTGTTTTGTTTTTGTGTCAGGAAACAAAGTTTGGAGCACTTGTGTTTTTTTGTTGTTTGTTTTCAGTGCCTCTCTCTCTTAAGGTGTCTGTTCTGTGCCGGGCTCTGTTAAAATTCAGTTCAGAACCTTTCTCAATCTAACCCCACCTGCATCTCCATAATCTCCATTCCCATCCTTGAGCTGACTGCACTGGGATGGGAACTGTGAATCCTTCTGTAGTCCTCCCTGTTAAAGTCCAAGTCATTTTTCAAAAGGGTTGGGACTATATCTCAGTGGTAGAGTGCTAGTTGAGTGCAAGCAAGGCCCTTGGTTCAGTTCCCAGCACCACAAATCATTCCTCGGGACATTATTCAATTATTGTGTCCTCACCTCTGCTAAACCTGTGCGAAGCCACTAATTGGCAGCGATGCCTTTGTGTGGAGCACAATCTGCCCATAGCTCATCCTGGCACATTTCTGGGCATGTGTCTTTCTCTTAGACTGGACCAGAAGGTCCTTGAAGGATAAATGTCAGTCATCTTCCATCCCTTGTGCCTAGCACCGTCCCCACATATGGTGAGCCTCGATCAACGCTTCCCCCATTTGACTGATGGTTTAAAATAGAGGCAAAAGTAATAGCAGATGACCACAGAGCTGATTCATGTCTTTTCGAAAGTCCAGGCTTGTTGAAACCCATAACAGGTACTATCCATCAAAAATATGTTCCACTCACCGCTTCTGACTTAGAGAAATGTAGAAGCTATCAAAGAGAATTGATCAGTTTATAAAATATTTGTGGCCCTGTTGGTCTATGAGAACAAAACACAATCGATACCATTATTAGAAAGAACCAAGGGATTATAAAACAGATATATAGGTTTGGGATTAAAATATTTTCAGAGGATATTCTTGATACATGAACCTTTCAAGAGTGAGGACCTTTTGTAATTCATCCTCAACTCCTTTTGCATATTTTGACATTGTGGCGCATCATAGGTATTCAATTTTGTTCTGGATTGAATGGTGTGTGTGGAGGAGCCACATTTTATTGGTTTATATTGAGTAGTGGAGAGAAAAAATGTTTTGCCCTGTCCTGGGTTTTGCAGTAAAAGCATTTAATAGGTCTAGAGGAATTATGCTTGTGCACAGACCAGAACCATTTGCAATGTGATGACCGAACAAAGTGCAGCTGGGCACACTCAGAGCTGCAGAGCCTGTCCCCAGGGCAGGCCCTCTGTGAACACAACTAGTCCCAGGCGGCATCAGCGTTCAGCATCTCTGAACACTAATGCTAGCATCTGCTGGGAATTCAAAAGGACCCGTGAAGCATGTTTTGGCTCCCACAAGAGGAGTGCTTTCGTGTAAATGAAAAGCTTCTTTCGTTTCTCCCATCAATCAGAGGAAGATGGGTTGATGAGATGTTTGTAGACCCATAAACTATCTGAAGAGACATTATTTTTCAAGAGTCCTCCTTCATTATGTAGTTTCACCTACTTCGTCTGCAGATTTCGCAGAAGAACCCAAATACTCATGCTTCTTCCTCATCACAGAACATCAGAGAATAAGATTTTGTCAGCCAACTGGAAATTTAGCCTGAGTGACGCTTCTGTTAGCAGATGCACACCGAAGCATCAACAGATACTCTAATGTCTCAGGTTGCCTGTAAATTAGATTTTAGTCAAAACAAAAAGGGGACTGAAATGTCTCTGTTGTAATAGGCCATGGCAGAAAACTGGGGCTGTAATAGGCCATCCGCCCATGCTCATTTTCTGAATTAAACGTGAAATTAGAAAAGTATGGAAGCAGAACCTACTGTTGTCAGAAAACTACCCAGTCATTAAAGTGTCTTTATTCTCTAGAAGTCCAAAGTTTTGTCCTTGCTGTCCTTGAATATTATTTGAGCATTTCATATGTCATCTGGAATGGCATAGTTCTCACAAGTCTTTCTTGAAGACTTTGTGCAATTCCAAGAAGAGCCTGTTCTTGTCAATGACATATTTTTCCATTAAAAAATAAAGCTTTCTTTTGATTACTAAGTCCATATATCATTTATGTTCTAGAAGTAAATTCATTTTTCCAACAGTCATCTAAGGACATGAACTGAATTAGTGTATTTTGTCTTGTTTGTTTGTTTAATTTTTTAAAATCTTTTTTTTCTTGCTTCGAGATGGGAATCTCATATTGCCAGGCTGCTTCAAACTCCTGGGCTCAAGTGACCCTCCTGTGTTACCCTCCCTAACAGCTGGGTCTCCTGCACCCATGTCTTGTGTATTCTCCCATGTTTCTTCCTTTTGAGGACATGGAAGACAAAGCAAGGTCTTTTCTCAGGGAGCGTAAGCTGCACAGTGTGAGGGGTTGGGGCATCAAGGCTGCCGGTGCACATGAGAGACCCTGCTTCTCCTCAGACTGGAAAAGGCAGGGCTTGCCAGTTACACTCTCTAAATGCGTGAAGTGTACTCACGTTCTGGAAATCATTAACTTCAATCGCTTCTTCAGCTCCACTTCCCATTTTAAAGGTCTCCAAGTTGTTCCCAGCATCTATTTCCATTGACCCATCTTGTAATTTCCCATTGATACTCATGGTGTAATGAACATTGTAAATCTAGAAGTGAACATAAGAGTCAGTGATGCTTTCTTTCTTCCAGCAATTTGGGGCTTCTCTTTAGACCTGCTATATATGAGGTGGTCTTCATGGAAGCACCATTAACAGTAATACATTTGTATTTGAGGACTTCATACACCAGCCACGTAATATAATGACTTCGTGTGTGTGTGTGTGTGTGTGTGTGTGTGTGTGTGTAAACCAGAGGTTAATGTCAAATGTCTTCCTTAATCACTAACCACCTTACTTTTTTAAGACATGGTGTCTCACTGCACCTACTACTGACCACCTCAACTAGACTGACTGGCCAGCAAGCCTGTCTTGGCCTCTTCAGTGATAGGATTACTATGTGGGTTCTGGAGGACTAAATTCAGTTCCTCAAGTTTGCATGGCAAGCACTTTACTAAATAAGCCATCAACCCAGCCTGATTGATTTTTAAATGATTTCTAAGTAAAATTTGGTAGCTATTTAAACTGGCCCAAGACTCGTATTTTGACTACAAACCAGAAGCAGCTGAATAGATAGATGGTCTTGTATCTGGACCAATTAGCTCAAAGCCTGTGCAGTTGGGGGTTGAGTAACCACATTTGGTTCCCTAAAGTCTTTTTGCACCTGGACTGAGAACCACCCATGGGGAGATGGAGAGGTTTTCAGCTGAGAAAGTGGCATTTTTGTTTGAAGATTGATTTTTAAAGTTTCTTGGTCAAGATTAGATGCGTGGACTAGCATATGGTAAGGATTTCAGACAGGCCTGGGATATGTCCCAACAGTACTTGGGAGACAGAAACAGGCAGATCTCTGTAATTTCAAAGTCAGGGCTGCATAGAAAGACCATCTCAAAACAACAACAACAAATTTTTACCACTAAATTAGATGATCCAAAGGGCTTTTTTGGTTTAGACAGCTTATCACTGCAATAGCTTAAAAATAACTCACATGCTGTCCTGTCCAACATGCTGCTTTCCTGCTAGACCTTTCTGTGTGTGGTGGACTGGAAGCTGGGTTTCTCTTCTTTCTTTCCTTTTAGGACTCTAGCGATCTATGTGTCTTTATTAACCATCCATTATCTAGCTGCCATCTGTCTAACATACAAAGTGCACGTGTGCTCATACACATATACATATGTCCAAGTCTTCAAAGAGGAAAGGCTCAGGACTGATGAAATACTGTTCCTACCTTGTACCAGGCCAGTCAGTTAGAACTACAGATAGCTGTGATTCTAATCGAGTCTGATTTTTCTCCCGCATTAGGAAGAGTGACTACTACATGTCTAAACACTAGGAAACGTAGTTGCTGTTACTGGATCATTACTTGGAGAAAACTCATTATCTCTAGACCCACAGAGCACTATTTTATCATCAGAGATGCCAGGATGGATTTGTCACTCCCACTCTTCCCTCCCTGGCAGCCATCTTCATTTGGTAAGAGAAAAAACACCCGCACCATCTTGGCGTGACCATCTGTCATTCCTGCCCGACTTGCCTCTTTTCAGGAACTCAGATGCCTGCAGTTCCCTACACTGCCCTGACCAGGGGGCCATGTGTAGGACTGAGTTAGCAGAGATGCAGCAGAGCCTAGAAGTCTGCTTTGCCTTCTCCCCCAGGAGCAGCCCAGTTAGGGAAGCCTGGTTTTTGTTTTTTGTTTTCGGCTGAACCAGGCCTTTCTGTAGGCCAGCTGAGGAAGCAGGCTCTGCCCTGCCCCAGGTGCTCAGAGCAGCCATTGTGCACAGGGTTAGCTATGGCTGTCATAGGAACCTGGCCTGTGTGTTCTTACTGGCACAAGTGTCCCCCTCTCAGGTGGCAACAAATTTAAGCAGTGCAGCGTCTAAGAACTTAACATTTAGAAATCCTTGTTAGTTGGTTCCTCGTCCCTCCTCTCCCTTCCTCATTCTCCTTCCCCTCTTCCCTCCCCTCTTCTACCAACCCCCCTCCAAGTCTCAATGTGTAGCCTCAGTTGGCCTTGAGTTTGTCAGATCATGTAGTCAGTCTGACTTTGATCCTTCCTAATTTCACTTCCCCAGCAAAGGCAACCCTGGCCTCAGTGTGCATCCTCTGGGCATAGAACCGGTCTGTCTTGTATGCTTGTTCTGGTGGCTGCAAGAAAAGCCGGTGCCCTCTTGAAGTGATCAGGGCAGATGTAGGAGTGGGCGGAAGGCAATCTGCAGTTTCTAAAGTTCTGGGCCCTAAGCTGAAAGCTGAGTTGCTGGAGCGGCAATTACATTATCTACTCTAAGCCCTGGGAGCCGTCGGCACCTAAGGCTATTTCTCGCCAAGTACAATGAAGTTTATTATTTGCCAAAATTCTGCTCAATATGGTGCCTTTTACAGCCAAGGATATTTGCTAATGAGTTTTTAATAAGGCCTCGGTTCTATAAGATTAATTACATAATGTTTGGGAAAATGTCTAGAAAAATTAATCTAAGAAAAAGGCCCCAAGCAATGGTCTCCTCCCCTCACTGAATGGGTAGAGTTGTCAGTTATCTGGCACTGATGGGAATTTCCCATATTTCAATGCCTTGTTCCATTTACTACAACGTGGATGAAAAATGGCCTCAATATTTGCACTCAGTCAGTGATCCCCTCATTATTAGTACTCCGTGCTTGGTAGCCCTCCAGCTAAATTTGAGCAGACCTGTCCTTGGGGATTGAGTCATGTGAAATGGGGAGGGGTGAATGTTATAGCTTGTTCTCCTTTGTAAGCTGAGGGCAGAGGCTGGGAGACTCAGAGAAGGGAGCGTCATTAGCTTGATGACTGTGTCTGTTTGATGGAGACTTACCTTTTAGACTCTGCTGTGTTTGGGTGATTTAGAATTCTATTCAGAGGAAGTAGACCCATGCTTGTTCATAGCATAGCATAGACAGTGCCAAGTGTTCTCTACTCTGAATTTTGTGATTTGTTTTCCAAACTTAAATACTATGGAACAGCATTAGACATTCCTCTCCTCCCCCCCCAAAAAAAGAACTGCCGCCATGATTTTCTTCATTCTCCCGTCTGTGTGGGAAATAGCAATAACTGTGATTGTTGGCAATAAAATGTGATTCACGATTCCTTTGTATTCTTAGAATTTAATACTGATCTCTTGACTGACTACCAAATACCTTGCGGTAAAATGGAAGGTATGGGAAAAGGAGCCGGCTTCCTCAGTGCCGGGGCTCGTTCTCTCTAAGAAGCTTGCTCTAGCCATGTTTGCCTTGAGTACTTAAGGCCAAATGGCGACACTTTCATGGATTTCATGGCCAAAATACTTACCAGAAACCTTAAAAAACAAAGCTATTTTTGTCTCCTAATGACTTCCATTGTCGAGATTTTGTTATCTAAAACATGGTATTTGTATTCTAACACCATCAAATTTCCCAAAGAGTGACACTCTCAACCCTGCTGCCAATGGGCATGTAGACATTGAAATCATTTTCATGTTCAGATCCCCTGCTTTCATATGTGAGCATCTGGCCCAGCGTCTATATTTAAAATACAAATACATTAAGGCACTTTTCAAAGCCATGCAAAACACAGCGCAATTCTGATCTTACAAATTGATGCTTGTAAATTTGATATAGTCTCTCAAACAGACTCAGTGCTAAATGGCATGCTTATCTACATTAGGCATTTGAGTTAAAAATACAAATTATGCAGTGACTGCAGAAGATGTGATGTGTAAAATGGTTGAATTGCTTTCAGCACCATTTTCTCTAAGTACTGGGATTCGCTCATGCTTAGAATTTCATGGTGGGAGAGGAGAAAAAGCAGCAGCCAGTGATCCTGGGAGGACAGTGATTAAGAAAGAGCCCTTTGTGTGCACCCTGGAGATGGAATTCTCTTCCATTAGTTGAAATAAGCTTATTTCAGTGGCCACCAAGATAAAAATGCCCCCTTTTACACAGGTGGACACAGTCAGGTATTTAGAGGACACGCTGGAGCTCAGCCCAGTCCAGACAGAAGCAGTTTTTATACTCCTTGAGAGAGTCCATCCAGCTTAAAAATAAACGAGCAGATAAAGGTAGGATAGTAGTTAGTGAGACGTTTGCCATTAAATCACAGGTGACCAGGCTGATTCCTTAAAGAGATTTGTCACCTCTAAGGAAGTCAGACTTTCTGTTTTAATAAAGAGAGGGAGTATGAATAAATAGGTCACACACACAGAAACCTTAAGAATGAAGATTTACCCCCAGCTGTGGGTCAGAATATTCTCTTTTCCTTCTTGTCCTTTTTAAATTTATAGCTTTTCTCAGCTGGGACAGGCCTTAAAGATCATTTACTTTCATTCTTTCTGGATGAGAAGTTCAGGTAGGACACGTGTCCTACCCTCTGTCTTACAGCTGCTTGCTGGCTGCGTTAGGCCTGGGTGGCAAAGAATGCCCCCCCCCCCCCCCCCGGCAGTGTCCAGGGCATTCTCGAACATTCTCCATTCCCGTTTTCATGGTAGAAACCCCGACCTTGCCTACACTGTGCCTAGTACCCACATCGGGTTGGATCCGTGAAGGGGGTTGTCCCAATAGGACCAAGGGGGGAGGAGCAAGCTGTGTCCACCGGCGGACCAGCGCTCTGGCTCCACCTAAGGGGACCGGCTACCCCGTGCACCTGGAGTCCCTTGCACCCCAACTCGGGTGGCTAGCCCTTCCAGCCACTCTTTGGACTTACGTGATTGTCCGTCCCTTTCCAGAAGTAGAAGGCCCCGATGGCCCCGAAGAGCAGCAGCACCGCACCAGAAATGAGGACCACAGCTCCGACCTTGAGCAGACGCGTAGAGCCAGAGGGTTTCACGGTCACGGTGGCATATGCCTACAGAGCAGGGGAGGGACGTATCGCCGCCATGCCACACACACTGCAGGTCCCTGTGCGGTGGCCCCGGGGAACCTCGAGGACTGCAGAGGGAAGCATGGCCCCCGCACACAGACGCTGCCGCCCTAGGGTCCCTTGTCCTTAGGCGTGGAAATAACAGCGGACTTTTCCCTGGGCAGGACCCCTAGTCCCGAAGACCTTCACCCTTTGCTGTCACAAGCGGTTCCCTCCACACCTGTGGTCTTTCCTGTGCACCCTGCCGCTCCTCCCACGCACTGAGCACGCTCATGAGCTTCCCTCATCACCACACATTAAATGGCACAGATCCCTTATCCCAGAAGTGAGCCTGGGTCCCTGCGTGTGGCCTCACTCCACACCAGGACTGGGGACCCAGGGGGTACTCACTGGAGGACTGCAAAACTCAATGTCATCAGGTCCTACTATGGTGATAGGAACTTTGTCCGAGTTCTCTGCCATGGCTGAAGATGGTGAAGTAGGACAGTTGGAGCTCTGTCCCTCTGTCCCAGCGACGAGTAGCCCCTGCACACCAAGCAGCAGCAGCAGCGGCGTCCTGCTCTGGCCAGCCCTCTGTCCCCACCCCTTCCAGCACCTCTCCCCCTCCCATCTCCCTCCACCCTGGAAGCAGCCTACTCAGCTTGTCCTGCATTCTCCGAAGTGCCCAGTCCTCACTCCCTCCAGTCCAAAGGCCCCAATAAAGTTCAGATAGGTCTGGGTGTGTAAGGATGGGTGCATCCTTTAGAATAAGGATGTCGAGTCTGGGAAACTCCCCCTCCCCCAAATGCTGGCTTGTCGGGGGCAATTAGCCGCCCACCCAAGGATTTCTTAGCGCATCAGGGGGCTTTGCCCGTGACACTGACTGGAGGTTGTTTCTTGAGGGTGCTGATGGGAGGGGATTGAGAGGAGAGCAGGATGGCACCAGGAGGTAGGGGACTTGGCTTAAGCGCCAACGTTAGGACACTTTTCCACTGGGGCGGGGGCGGGGCCATTGCTGAACTCTGCTGAAACCAGAGCTTGGAACAGAGTCTTGGAGCTGGTCTTTTGCTACTCGATTCTCTGGGGGAGGGTCTTAAGTTGCAGCAACAGTGAAACCCAAGCGGAAGGAGCCTGCAGCAGAAGACATGGGGGAGTCTGGAATGAAAATGCCTACAGTCAAGCCGACAACAATGAAATAGAAACAGCGGCAAACTTCTCCAAGACACTAATGGGTTGTGTCTAAAGGAACAACGGTAACGTGGGTAGGTATCATACACACATACATAGCATCATTAAGTGAACAGAGAAGATGTTTCACTTTTTTTTTTTTTTGACACTCACATGTAGCTCATAGAACTCCATGTGTAGCTGAAGATGACCTTAAACTTTGAATTCTCCTGCCACCATCTGCAGAGAGCTGGGATCACAGGCACTGGCCAGTGCTCCCTGGTTTTGTGCTGGGCATACTTTCCGCAGAGGCACATCCCTTTTTTCCTCCACCTTTGAAGAATGCGCCTTCTTTTGTGGTACCTCATTGGAAGCCAGGGTTCCTTAATTCTCACTGGGGGTGAGGAGTGAGCGAGAGTTGGTGCCTGGGAGAAATGAGGTTCCCTGAGACAGTTTCAGACCTACAGGACCACAAGAGTAGCAGAAACCTCAGGGTGCAGGGTGGAGGGTGGGAGGGGCAGTTTTTAGATTCTTAAGTTTGATGGGAAGCAAAAAGAGTCTAGCAACTAGCCTATGACACTTTGTCTGCACACCCCTAGATGTGTGTAACACCCTTGTCTGCACACCCCTAGATGTGTGACACTCTTGTCTGCACACCCCCTGATGTGTGTAACACCCTTGTCTGCACACCCCTAGATGTGTGACACCCTTGTCTGCACACCCCCTGATGTGTGTAACACCCTTGTCTGCACACCCCTAGATGTGTGACACCCTTGTCTGCACACCCCTGATGTGTGTAACACCCCTGTCTGCACACCCCTGATGTGTGTAACACCCTTCTCTGCACACCCCCTGATGTGTGTAACACCCTTGTCTGCACACCCCCAGATGTGTGACACCCTTGTCTGCACACCCCTAGATGTGTGACACCCTTGTCTGCACACCCCTAGATGTGTGTAACACCCTTGTCTGCACACCCCTGATGTGTGTAACACCTTCTCTGCACACCCCCTGATGTGTGTAACACCCTTGTCTGCACACCCCCAGATGTGTGACACCCTTGTCTGCACACCCCCAGATGTGTGACACCCTTGTCTGCACACCCCTGATGTGTGTAACACCCTTGTCTGCACACCCCTGATGTGTGTAACACCCTTCTCTGCACACCCCCTGATGTGTGTAACACCCTTCTCTGCACACCCCCTGATGTGTGTAACACCCTTGTCTGCACACCCCCAGATGTGTGACACCCTTGTCTGCACACCCCTGATGTGTGTAACACCCTTGTCTGCACACCCCTGATGTGTGTAACACCCTTCTCTGCACACCCCCTGATGTGTGTAACACCCTTCTCTGCACACCCCCTGATGTGTGTAACACCCTTGTCTGCACACCCCCAGATGTGTGACACCCTTGTCTGCACACCCCTGATGTGTGTAACACCCCTGTCTGCACACCCCTAGATGTGTGTAACACCCTTGTCTGCACACCCCTAGATGTGTGACACTCTTGTCTGCACACCCCCTGATGTGTGTAACACCCTTGTCTGCACACCCCCTGATGTGTGTAACACCCTTGTCTGCACACCCCTAGATGTGTGACACCCTTGTCTGCACACCCCTAGATGTGTGTAACACCCTTGTCTGCACAGCCCACTAATGGTGACAGGTAAGTGTGATCCAGCTGGACTTCTCCTGGTCTCTGTGGAACAAGGGTGAGCAGAGTGCTTTTCCCAAGGGTTCTGTCCCAGGAATTTCAGGGAAACAAAAGAGATGCAACAGCGAAGCTGGAGGTGAGTCTTGATACAGAAGTGCACACAGCTGAAAGAAATTATTCACAAGATGGATTGGCAGAGTCAAATGCTGAAAAGCATGAGGGCCAAGAAAGGTTTGGATGTTTGCCATCAGGAGGCAGGGGAAACCGATAGTACAGTAGTTGCCTCTGTTTTACTGGGCATGTAACATGTATTACAGAAGGTTACACAGTGGCTAAAAATATGTGCAACTAATATCATAGACAAGGAATGGATTTTTCTCATATAGGGCGGTCCTAGGCTTGTTAAAAGACCATCTCCAACCAGGCAAAAGGTAGGAACAGATGATTTACAGAGGGAGAAACGCAAAGGCTGAGGAATAAGAAGAGTGCTGAGTACATCCATAAAAACAAATACAGGTTGAAAGTGTGCGTTTTGTGGTACCCATGTGGATTTGAGTGCAGAGCTGACCATCTGGCTGTGGGTAACCAACCTATCAGGGACTTGTTCATGAGGACAACTGAATCCCCCTCCCCCAGCAGACACCAACTGCCTGTAGCTTTTAAAGTAGAGGTAGGGCCTTGTGAGCCCTTCCCATCCATGGCATCCATGGTGGGAGGCTGACCGGGGTAGCCTTGGGCAGGCAACCTTGTTGGGAGTTCAGGAGAGATATCCCTGTCGTGTTCACACGATGCCATTTCACAACGAGCCTCCCCGGCCTTTGGTCTTTCCACCTCTTCTTCTATGATGCTCTCCCAACACTGGATAGAGGACATACTGTAGATGTGCTTTTGGGGCATGCTCCCCACAGTCATTAATTCCCTGTGCTGTGGCTCGCTGTGTTTCTCTGAAGTAGCCTCTGTCTTTGATGGGGGGGGGGCGAGAGCCGCACTAATCTATGGGTAAGGATACGCATTTAGAAGAAAGTTGGGTTTAGCATCAGTTTAGCAAAATGGAATCAAGGGTCTATGACCTCTCTAGCCACAGGTTCTGGGATACATACCCATGCATACACACTTATAAAATTGTAGGAAGACGACATGAGTTTGAGAGAGGGATGTGGGGGTACAGGAGGAGTTTTCAGGAAAGGATAGGGTAAATACAATAAAACTATGAAATCTAAAAAAAATTAAAGTATACTCTTCACCTAACAACAAACAGTTGTTAGACAAATCTCTTACATAGTAGGAGGGGAAACAAGGCCCTCCTATGTCTTGCTGTGGGTAGATGAGATGGTTTGACTTCTGTGGAGAACAATTTGATTTCAAAATGTAAAATGCAATTTCATTCTGTGGATCTTATCCTGCAAAAGCACTCACAGGGGTGGGAACGCACACATGTGGAAGACTGTTCACCGCAGCATGTTTGTTAGAACAGACGATAGAAAGATCCTTAATGTTCGGAGAGAAGTGATGATGACATGTCCTCACAGTGGGATCCTGGCATCTCTTTAGAAGAATGAGGCATCTTGGGATATACTGACGCAGGGAAAAGCTCCAAAATATTTTAAGTGAAGAAAAAAAAAAGCCCAAGAATAGACAACGTGTATAGATGCCTCCATTTGAATAAAAATTCCAATAAGTGTATATGCATGCGATCTATGGAGACTAAGGAAGGAGCTGGCCATGGGGGCCACCTCTGGGGAGACTGGCGAAAGGACAATGGCTCACTGTACATCTTTTGCAATGTTCTAAGTTCTGAACTGGAGGCACGCATTAACTATTGAGTGAATAAGACAGTAAGTGGGTGGGCAGGAGGCGATGAAGGCTGGACATGCAGCAATTCGTTTAAGAACTCTAGCAGAGAGGATAAGACGAAAGAGGCAGGAGCACAGATGAAGGGAGTTAGAGGGCAAAGCAACAGCAGTTCGCTCATCCTTGGCTAGCCTGGGCTATAATTAGACTCTGGGAGGAGACAATGGACCCACAGCAAGCGACAGGGTGACTTTGGGGAGAGAGGGATTGGAGGGAGCACATGGTGACACGCATCAGAGACACGTTGACATTGAGGAGAGAGTGAGTACTCGGGGTGGACAATGCAGGAACTTGCTCCATTCATATAACCTGAACCCATGCTTGCAGAGAACAGCTGTGGGGGAGAAGGGGTGGGGTAGCAGGTTGCTTTCTCTGAGAACGTTCTGTTAACATGGCATATATCGGGCCACTATAAGGTCAAGCACATATTAGTAGACTATGGCTCCTGAACAACGGTAGAGAACAACACAGAAGCAATACTGGGGGCTCCTGGAGAGTTGGATCAGATAATCACCTCCCCCATAGACTTACCATCGCCTCCACCCGGCTAGTGGACCCAGTACAAGCTCATTGTTAGAATCCAACTTCACCTTCAGCTTGGGTGCTGCGATCTGAATGGGGCCATGCCCCTAGCGATGATGTGTGGCTCCTGGTTGTGAGAAACCTTGTCAAATATCAGAAAAGACGGTCACTGAGAAGTAAGTCACAAAAGAAGGAGGCCATTGCAAGTGGGCTAAACAGTGTGTCACAATGTACCGCGGACTCTAAGATTGTGCACTATCTAGTAGGCACTGGGGGAGGAAAACGGGTAACAACTAAGGGAGAAGAATCGATGCTGGGAACTGGTGGGGATGGGAATATCGAGAGACTGCATAGTCTAAGAGCATGAGGTCGCTGAAGTGTTTG